GAGCAGGGGCTCGGCAGCCCAGAAACTGCCACAGAAGTTGCAAATGAATTTGTCCCAGAAGTTGCAAACGCATTTGCGAATCAGTTGCAACCCCCGTGTTGCAGCCACCGTGGAAGGGACGGCTCCGCGCTCCCCCGCTGCTCCGCGGCAGCGCAGCCGGCGTGTGCTCGGAGCGGGCTTCTGGGCTCGGGGAGCCGAGGAAACTCAGGCTGGTTGTGGGGAGGAGAGCTGATTGACTCAGCAAATCATTCACTGCCTGACGTGTAACAGTTTTAGGCCCGACGGATGACTTCTAAAATATGGTGTCTGGCAGGTCACTCTCAGAGGTAGCATCGCTGACACGTAAAAATTCCTTGTGTCTGAGTAAATAATATCGAGTGTGTACCGTTGGGATTACCTTTGTAAACGGAATCCTGTTTTGTATGGTGTACTGAAATCTTTTTCATCTTATGATGCCTTAAGGAAAGGTTGAAGAGTCGGGTTGACCCAGCGCTGAGGGATCTGGTGGACTTGGGAACTGTCAATGTTGGGTTGATGGTGGACTGGAGGAGCTTCAAGGTCTTTTCCAACCTAGACGATTCTGTGATTCTGTGGTTTTCAGTAGGTTTAACTGTCCCCTGGGCAACGTTAGCGGGGTGTCAGCTGGAATCCAGTAAATGCTGAGAAGAGTAAGTCCTGTTCTTCCACCGGGGTCTCACACACGGCATCCTGTGGGGATATCTTATCACAGTGGGTCTTGTCCAGTGAACCCCTTAACTTTCCCCTCTGCTGTCTGCCAAACTTTGTCTTTTAGGATTGGCGAAGACAAAATCCTGTCTCGGGATCCTGTCAAGTAAGGTGCCTTGATGTCCTCCTACACGTTAGCTGACTGAATCCCTGCCAGGCTCGGTCATGCAACAGCACTCCTGTTTCCTGATAAAGTGAGTTTACTGACTGCTTACTGGAGGAACAAACCCATAGAAATACTAATCTTCCCCGCCTTGAGCTAAGTTACAGCCTTACTGATGAGGCAAACTTGCTGATAGTGAGCATTTGGTGCCCTTTAGACCTCAGAGGGTTGGTGGCTGATCAGTAGCTTTGAAAAGTAGGCTGTAAGATACATGTTGATGCAGTGTGTCTCTCTCAATTTCTGTATTAATCTTAATTACCTACCATAATCATCCACTACTATATATGTTAATGCAGTGCGTTACATAGTAATGGAGAGTTTAGGAGGAATCTATCCATTTTTATTAGCTTTCGTGTCTAGTAGATTAATGCACTTGCTGTGCACTGTTGCTGTGTGGTTCTAGTTTATATAATGTATGTATACACGCATGTATTGTTTTAGTACTTTTCTGGAGGAAATTTCAGATCACATGCCTTTTAACACATTGGTGCAGACATCTTTATTTTTTGTTTTAATTGCAAATTCTCTGCTGAGTTTATAAACCCATCTGCCAGAAAACAGACTTTGCATCTGGTTATTTGCTATTGAAATTCTAATTGGCACATCCATGCAACCTGCAGCCTCTGCCTTCTAAGGGAATTCTTCTGGCACAGACTTTTCAAAGGCAATGGGAGTAATTTGCAAGCGAAATTTCAAGCTTCAGTGGTGAAAAACATCCATGCTGAAGGCCTGATAATGTATTTAGAATGTCTGGCTGCATACCCTGGATTACAGAGTTAGGTTAATGTAGCAGCTTTTAAATGGAGTAGCTGATTTTTCAGTTGTATGTGACTAACTAAATTTTTAAGGGAAAATGTTGCAGGAACATTAAGGAATGGAGATGTTTAAAGCAGTGTGTGTGTATAGACATGCATCCAAAACTTTACTTGAAGAAACTGTGAAGAACTGATTTGTTTGGGTAGAGTTTCTTGCCTCTTTTTGATTTTTTTTGAAAGGCATGGATAAAGTTTTTCTCCGTGAAGCTTTTTGTATACAGCTCTGCTGATGTGTCCCCATGCTCTGGCACAGTGTTAACTGAGTACGTGTTCTGTGTGTCATCATCCACGCTTGAACTCAGTTTTATAAACTGAAAGCACCATAAAGCAGGTCCACCAAAAGTTTATACCAGCATATTTGCAGTGAAAAAAAGGGGGATGTAGAAGGAATGAACTTGTTGCTCTGCTGCGTACCCACAAACCAGGTGTATCACAGCAGCTGCTTCATTGGGGCTGATGTGTGTGTTCTGAGGGATGCTGGGCTCACGGCTCGGAGCGGGCGCGTGGACGGCTGGGCGTCATGCACATGCAGTTCCTTGCAGCCCTCGTCTCCATATGGTGATCCTCACTACCTGTGTGCATGTGCTGAACAGCTGCGCTCAGATCCATCTGCTCCAACCTGTTTCTGCTCTCATCACTGGACCCCACATATAAGCGTGTTCAGGCACTGCTGGTGTCTAGTTTAGATTTATCTTTGCCCTTTCATTGTTGCATTGTGTTTGATGCAAACTTCTAATAGCAAGAGAAACTATACACTGGGAAAGACGGAGAAAAACCACTCAATTCACTGCGTAAGTAGATGTAGAACTTCAGCTGCTGTGCATTGCTACGGGTCCCTTGCAGAGCAGTGATGATCCACACTAGCTGGCTGTTTGCCCTTTGAAGTGTTTAAATTGGGATCAGATGCCTTTCTGAAGGAGGTGTGCATTCCTATGAACACAGAGCTGGTACAAAGTTGACTTGTGCAGTGGATGAGATACCCTTCTGCCCTCCCCTCCCTCCTGGCACACTAATTGCTGGATGAAACTCCCTGGCTTATGCTGCACTAAGAGTCAAACTAGGTGATCTTTGTGGCTTTTTTCCTCCTACCCTTCAAAGGGCTGGGAGAGCAATATCCCTGCTGCGTGCGCTGTTGCTGGATGCCACCCGGCACTGCGTGCTCTGGCTCAGCGAATTTGCTTCCCTTTCCTGCTTCCAGCCTGTCCTGCAGGTGTAACCCTTCATCATACCCCACCTGTCCGTGATACCCAGCCTGTTTGGGTCTGGGAAGGACTTCCATAGGGCTACTGACTTTGTCAACTGGGAAGCCAAGAAGTCCTGTGAAGTAAACTGTGATTGAACCCTTTCTTTCTAGATTGTAGCAAGCACGTATCATGTTCATTCCTTCTGTCAGTTCTGCTCCTTTGGACCGAAGCTGTGGTTCCCTTTCTACAACTTGCAGGAGTCAGTGGGGCTTGTGAGTTGGCAGCCAGGGTATGAGGATGCTGCTGGCGCTGTAGGGACAGTGGCGATGCTGGAAATGAATGCAGGCAGGAGCTGGCTGTGCACTTCGGAAATGTTGTTTGCAGCTCCTCCAGCTTTTGACTATTGGCAATCCAAGGAGGTCACCATGTGGGTAAGATGCTCAGGGTGTCTGTGGTACATCAGTTCATCCAGGAAAGGACAGTGTATCTGGCTTGGTACAGGGACCCTCTTCTTGAAGGAATGTCTTCACGGACATTGCTGCATGTTTCTGTGAACAACTTATCAACAAAAGCAGCTGACAAGAATGGCAGAAGTGGGTTTTAATGCTCAGTGGAACCACACACCTGCCTTGCTGGTGTGTAGAGCAGCACTTGGCTGCTTGCTCTTGTGCTATCTGGCTTCCTTGTTGCTTTGGTTCTTTAGGTGCATTCATGGAAACACTGCATTTAGGTGATGGCTCTGCTGTGCCGTTACTGTGATTATCACTGAAATGAGGTTTCCTCTGGGCAATTTTGAATGTTGATCAGCATAGGTGCCAAAATTTCTGACAGTCTTCCACCACCTTTGCTGGCTTTGTTTTAATTTGCCATTGTGGGCTTGACCTCAAGGGTCAGATCTTGGGTTTCAGGGGTGGGAGGTGGGATGCTGCTGGACTGACACCAAGTGGGTGCTTGCTGTGTCATCGGACAGGGTGGGACTGAAACAAAATCCCCAGTGGCTGTGTTGCCGTGGTGGGAGAGCTCATCTTGGAATGCAATTTGCAGAACGTGAGACCTCTGGAATGACAGTGTGTGAGCATCCTTTCCTCCCAGTTCACGTGATAACTTGTCAACCATTTGGAAAGCACATTGGGCACTTGCTTCTTTGTTTGTTTTTTCTTGTAGGACAATGTGTTATGATGAAGGGACAGAGGGCAGAGATCCAGAGCTATGGGGCTTGTTTATTTGCAGCCAGCCAGCCTGTCCCCTGGTGCATGTGGCAGGACCTGCAGTCCCTCTGTACATCCAGCACCTGCTGAGGGACAGGCTGGGTCCTCCCTCCATCCCAGCGGGCAGTTAGGTCGCTGCAGTCAGTGAGGGTTGCATGCCCAGATTATCTCTGTACATCACCACAACTCCTGTTGCCTTTGCTTGGGGAGTCTCAGTTGAGCTGTGTCCCCTAAAGGACACTAAATTGTGCTCTGCAGATGTGGCTATGGAGTGTCCAAGCCCACACAGCTACCCCGTTATTCCCTAAATACCCAGAGAGGGAAGGGCAGGTTGACTGTGTACAAGGGCCTGGGATTTTTTCACTTATTGAGTCTTTCAACAAGTCCTCTTCACAACCATCACTACTTCTGCTAAAAATGTCCCTCGTGCCTCCACCTGTCCGGGAGGGCGTTGGGATTGCCTTCCCTGAGCTCCAGCTGACTTGTGCTATGCCTGGAGAACTGCTTATGCAATAGCTCAGCAAAGAACTTGAGTGCGTACTTCAGAGAGAGAAGGTGCACTGGTTTTAGATTTGGCTTATAAAAAAAAAAAGGGGGGGGGGAATGATTTGATGAAATTTGCACTGAATTTTGCGTGTATATTTGTGTTGGATTTATATTTGTTTGGCTTGGGGAGACTTTGCAGCACTTTAACTAAATCTGAGTTTAAATCCACTTAAGTTAAACTCCCAATACAACTTGTGTGTGGAGACCAGGATGAAATCTCATTAATTTTAATAGGATTAAGCATGTTCTTTTGCTGAGTCTCTTTCTCTATCTTTCTTTGTTTGGCTCCTCTGTCTTAAAAAGCAGGATAAACCTTTCCACTCTTCCATCTCTTTGTGAAAGTGCTTTGACAGTCTCAGAGAAGTGGCTCTCTGGTTGCATACAATAATATTTTACACCTTTTTTTTTTTTTTCTCCTATGCTTTCAGCTGTAGTCCTACTGTATCCAGGCTTTCACTGGCTTTTGCATCCCCTAAAGGCACATTACTTCCTGACAGCAAGAAAACAGTTAGAAGTATTTGCCTGGTAAGTTTCTACACTCAAAATTATTTTATTTTTTGTTTGCTCCCTCTGGACAGATTTGAAACTGCTGTGAAACAAGCCCATTAGTAGATGGAAATTTTATAGAAGTCATTAGGAACTGAGCATGTATGGATGGGTGAGGGCAAAATTAATCCCTATTCATGGACTGGGAATAAATTGAAGAACAGGGAATAAAGGTAGAAGTGTTATGAATGCAAACTGATTGAAGGGAAGTACTTGGGATCCGTTTAAGATCAAACAAGCCATTAGTTGAAGAGGAGGCTACTTTTAACACGTTTGTGCTACCTCTTTGCTTCCTCATTTCTCAGTGTACATCATGCCCTGAATGTTGCTATTATTTTTAATTTGTGTGTGATTTATGATATAGGAACACTCCTCTTCCCCCTCTCCTTCAGAAAGGACAAGCCCCACAGCAGGTCTTTCTGGATGTTTCTGAGATGCTTTTAATGACACTCTTACTAAATACATGCTTTTGAAGGAAAAGTAGACTGCCTTGTAGCTCATGCACTAAGCTGGATTTCATTTCCAGCTGACCTACAGCTATACACAAATGGGTCAGTCTTCTCACACCTCTTTTTCTACTCTGTGAGATAAGGGAAGGGTTGGTCTAACTTACCTGTGCTCTGCTCTTTCAAACTGGTGCCCTGTCGTACTGTGGGCTGACCTGTGTTACAAAGATGGGGCTGGTGTATCTGTGTCAGCAGAGCTCCTTTACATCACCATTCTTTTGATGAAATTTTACATCATCAGTGTGTCTTTTTTCTGGCAGTAGCCTCTGGACTTAAAGTTCTCGTATCTAATAAAAAAAGGAGAGCTTGGTAGAAAATAAGTTCTCTGGGTTTTTTTTGCCATAAGATAAACAGGAGATCGGCTTATTTAAGGGGGTTAAGGAGGGGAGTTTTCGATGGATGAGAAATGCCTAGTGATAAGTTAAAATTCTCCACGACCAAGCAAAGATCATTTACTCCCTAGATCTCTACCCACAGTAAATGGATGCTAGTCTAATTGTTAACTCAATAAACAATAAGTATTGCTATCAACATTTTTTTCTGACCTTCTCAGCGGTGTTGATCAAGGGTTTTTTGCTGCTGAGACCAGTTTTCTTTTAAGTTATCATTTCTTCCCATTTCTAAAGCTCTTTGCATCCTAGCTGATCTGGAAAGATGATGCTGTCACTAGGTTTTCACAGCAACTTCTGTGAATCTTCATGTGGGTTTCTGACACTCTTTGACCTGATAAGGCTTAAAAAAGGAGCAGTGTGCTTCCCTTCTTTGAAAGGAAACATTCTATACCCAAATCTCTAATTTTAAAAAAAAATTCTGTTTGGAAAATACCTCATTTGTGAGCGTGATGGAAAGTGCTGGGACCGTAGGCACGACCAGCTGGTCTGAGTGTGAAAACTTGAGACCAGCTTTGAAAACAGCAAACGTGTTCCCTCCTCGCGCGTTTCTTTGTCATTAGTCCTTTTTGTTAATTAATCTTGACTATCTACAGCTTTAAAAAAATGTGCAAAACCTATTCAATCTTTCCAGTTCCTTTTTATAGCAAGGCTTTTGTGGGATAGTCACGGTATCTTCTTTGGCTCATGATACAGATGATATAGCGCCTTTACAATATTTCCTTAGGCCGATGTAGAACTGCTAAGCCTGATGTATCTCCGATGCATTCTATGCCTGGAAATGGCCTCGTTTGCAAGAGCAGCGGCTCCTGCATTGTCTCCACATGGTACTGCTATGCAGGGCTCCTTTAGGAACAAGAAGTTAAGTGCTATGGTTGAAGACCACCCCTCACCTAAGTGTGAGGTGGAACATACACCCTTGAAGGCAGACAGTTCTTCCTGACAGTGCATTAAGCCGTATCACGTGGCCATTAGTGCAGTCCCTATGAACTGTCCTTCGCTTCTACATTTGTAGGAGGCTTCTGTTGTTGAATTGGTGTTGTGACTTCTGTTCTGGGGAACTCTCCTGTGAGGGAACACTGAGAGAGCTGGGACTGCTCAGCCTGGAGAAGAGAAGGCTCAGGGGGATCTTACCAATGTATACTCTGAAGGGAGAGTGCTTTTTTCAGTGGTGCCCAGTGACAGGACCAGAGGCAATGGGCACAAACTGAAACATAAGAGGTTCCATCTGAACATTAGGAAACACTTTGTCATTGTGAGTGTGACTGAGCCTTGGCACATGTTGCCCAAGAAGGTTGTGGAGTCCCGTCCTTGGAGATAACTCAAAAACCATCTGGACATGGTACTGGGCAACTGGCCATAGGTGGCCCTGCTTGAGAGGGGGATTGGAGCAGATGACTCCAGAGGTCCCTCCCAACTTCAACCATTCTGTGATGATTGTGCAGAGAGCTTCTCTAATGTCTTAAGTGGAAGTCAACTCTGGCCAAGCTACCTGGTACAAAATAAGCTTAGTCTGCATTCTGTGTAGGTTCCCAGAACGCTAGAAGAGTTTCTGGCCTTTGTCATCTGAACTGTATGTCCACACCACTGCTTGTGGGCCTTTATTAAAAATGGTGCTGTGGTCAGTAAGAGCTGTAAGACTTGTCCATCAGTCAGCTTATTGTATTAGCAGACCTTAAGTGCATGAGACTGTCTACATGAGGTAGAGGTCTGCCTAATACAGTATTGTCTTCAACAGTGATAGGATAGTGATGGATAGAGACATCATCCCTTGATACCTGGTATCATGAGACCCTCTGGCAGTTTAGTTAAAAGCCAGTATCCTCTCACTATTCCCTTTCTCTTCAGATTTTTTGTGTTCATTGAATAGCAGAAGTCCCAGCACAGATCTTGGAATGTCACTGGCGGCCACTTGTCCTCATGAAAACCTATGGCTTCTTTCTGCTCTGTTTCCTATTCTAATCAATTATCAGTCTGTGCAAAAGGCTTTCTTTGTAGCCAACAGCATCTTAGTTTGCATTAGAACTTTGAAATGGTCCTTCACCAAAAACCATTATACAAATTTTATATAGGAAAGATAATTCCCTGCTACGAAAGCTGTGTTGACTCTTCCTGAAGCCATGAAGCAAGCTGAGAATTGACACCAAGAACAATTATATCTTTGATGGTGGTTTTTGAGGGGTGTCCAACAGTTTGTATTTACTTTGTAGATATGGCAAGATCCATGTGTTCTGGCTGCAGTGACCATCTCTGAGGTGGCTGGAGTAGATGTGTGCTGTGGCTGAAATGCGTCACTGATGACATCTGGGGTATACCTGGCTCTAGTGGGCACATTTGGGGCAGTGAAGTCAGCAGGGAATGCAGTCTCATGAGCCTGCCAGTGGTTACATGACAATTTTGTTGAGGTCACAGGTTCCACTAGTTCTGCTGGACTTACTCTCATGTATAAAGTTACACACGTGCTTTGTGTGTTTCGAGGGTTGGTGCTTAAGACAGATATATAGATATATGGAAACAGCTGATAATGTTCTTCAGGGACATTTGCTGCTCGAGTTGGAGAAGCATGTGGCCTGGACAGAGCAGTAATAATGCAGATGGCTTTTGTGACCAGATCACTTGAAAAGCAAAAGCATGGAAATTGGGTTTGTTCTCTATTTAGCAAACAGCTTTTGACTGGATCTGGTATATTCATAAATTTCCATTTGTTACTTTTCTGTTCATTGCCAAGGGAGCAAGGCCTTGAAAATCTTACAATGTCTAGAAACTGGTATGTGTTGTTGCAAGGAAATATATTCAGTGAATCAACAGCTGTAGCAGAAGTGGAGTTCTGGTGCTGATGACCCATCCTCATAAGCAATATCTGAATGAGAGTTTTATAATAAAATATAACTAGAAAATGCTGTTGAGGTGGGGGTTTTTGTGGGTTTTGGTTGCTTTTTTTGTTTTTACCCCTGCAGGTTTTGGCAATATTAAGGAGCAGTTCTTTCTGGGTGGTATGTTCTTCACTTGGTCTTTGACCTCTCTGAAAGTGGAAACAGATGTAATGCAAACTGTGGATAGGGCAATCTGCCCCCTGGGAGTTGACTGAAAACTGCAAACCCTTCTGCTAAATGAGCTCTTAAGTTATTGCACATCTTGTTCTGCAAACAAATTTGCCCCCATATTGAAATCAGTAAGATTATACCTGCTGGAGTTCCTTCTGGAGTTAAAATATGTGCTCCAGAATCGGGATTCATTAAGTATATCCCACAGCACGCTCAAGCCTTCACATTTACAGTTACTTCTGAGCAAGATAACAGTGAATGCCATCCAGTGAATATACAGTCATAACACTTGAGTTTCATATGGCGATTCATCTGTGTAAAGGATGTCTGGATGAAGGAGAGAATTTATAAATAAAATACTTGCACAAATTTATTTCAGTATTTTTCTCTTGTCTCCAGGAAGGCTATTTCCAGAGAGAAGTAAAGGAAATGTGTATCACCTTTAAAAAGCAAAGTCTGAAATGGTGGGCATGCAGTTTAAGTGGTTAGAGATTGTTTGATGTAGACATTAATAGATGGGAAGAGAGTTTTCTATTTTGGTCTTATCATTGCTAGAGGATTTTCTAAGCAAGATTTAACACATAATTCCTTTTCAGATGGCTGTCATAAAAAAATCCCCACAAACCCCAAACCAAAAACAACCCCCAGAAACCCCAGCTAATGCTGTGAACATCTAATCCTCACTGTAGGGCACTTTTTCTGCTCCATTATCTTCTGGGGCAGATTTACCTCATGATACAGTGTTGGGCAACTGAATTGAAAGTGCTCTCCTGTAAAGTGGCTCAGATGCCCAAGAAGGTGAATGCTAAGACAGAAGCTGGATTTTGCTGGGAAGCTGGTGGAGGCAGAATTGCTGCTTTCTAGGGCAGAGGAAGCGTTTCATTTCTCCACGCTTGCAAATGAAACTCATGAAGATCCACTACAAGTACTTGACTGTTCAGTTACAGCCAGGCTCTCAGGAAAATTAGTGAGTTTAAAGTGTGAGCTGTTGTAATAGTTTTGTTAAACCCTCCTGTGGGTGTTTGCGTTGTTAGAGATGC